TATTTACACACTCTTTGTATGTAATATTATTAACTAATGGGTATGTGGAGTTTTCTTCAATTTGAAGATTAGGATTATTGTTTTCTTGGTTAAAATTTTCTGTTGTCATGTTTGCTATTATTATTGGTTATCATAGTAATAGTAAAAATTTTGTATTACATATCCCCTGTAATTTGTCCATTTCGCAAATCGGCCCATGTTTTCAAATTTGCGTAACGATTTTCAAGCCAATAAAATTTAATTTTTGCGTCACAAAATTTAGTCAATGAAATCAAATGTCCACTATGCTTGCATAAACTAAGCCACACAATAACCTTAATATTTTGCGGAATTTTCAAAAAAAAAACTGCGTTCGGATACCCTTTTCCAGATACTGTATGTTGTGCAATCATTGTTATTATTATACAATTTTTTTGTTTTAAAGTTTGCTCAAACAAGAATAGTAATAGAAGTGCCCAGTTTTCATAATACCTATTAATTTAATTTTCAAACACCATATACATTCTACCAATTTCGAGGATTTCGTTTTAAACGAGCGTGAGTATATTTCTAACCCAAGAATTAAAAGGACTTATCTTAATAAATAATAATATTGTGTAAAAGTGGGAAAGAAAAAATATTTTTTAATTATATCAGCTACTCAAATGACCTATTTATGTAATGTGTGGGGTCTTGGTAAATTATTCCGGAACTATTATGCCATGCTCTCTAACTTTCATTATTATGAGGCGCAATAAACTAAAATAGAATGTGAGTCACTTTGCTAATTGGTCTGTTCTTAGTTTGATGCTCTGAATGATAAACAGAAATAGAAAAAAAAAAGCGTTAAAATAAATTTTGGTTCCAGTGTAACAATTTTCTTCATTTTTATACACAAACTATTGTACAATGATTGTAGAAATTCGGTCATGCTCTTTATGCACGTTTCGTGAATATTAAATATAAATTAATTAGGTTTTTTTCTTTTTAAATTTTAAAATTTTTAAGGGAAAAAAATGAATAAAGCTATTTCTTTAGTTTTTTTAAGAGATAGACAAATTATTACCAAAAAAAAACTTTTAATTGCTTCGATAACTGAAACATATAGAACATATAGATCTAAGTATCTGTTTAACAATGTTAATAATGTTGTCAAAATTTCAAAAAGCAACCTTTGGAAATTTAATCGAATAATGGCAAATGTCGAGTTGACAGTTGCCCAAATTTCATCTTTATCAGGCAATTCCTGGAAAGATGCAAAACATAAAAATTTATTTTGTAAAGCTGAACAACGACGATTAAAAAAAAACAATTTACACATCATAGATTACAATTATAAAAACAATAAAGCTGCAATCAACAATTCATATTTACTATCTTCACTATCACAACTTCCAATTAACAAATATGACAAAGAAGTAAAGGATGGATCAAACAACGGAATAATCAATGAAAACAAATTATCCAAATTACCATCACATCCAATTAGTGAAAACAAACCAATGGTTAATGAATCTAATGACAGTTGTTTAGCGTGGCTCAATGAAGCAATTCAGAATGGACACATTAATTTTTATGAATATTGCAGATTTAAAAACCCTCAAAAAATCGGTTCAGGTGGTTCTGGAAAAGTTTATAAAGCAACATTTAACAATGGTATGACTTTTGCTTTGAAATCCTATAAATATACAACAAATACGAAAGAACTTATTAATGAGGTAAATTGTAATTTTTTGGTTGTGGATGTGATTCGGTATTTTTCCGCGATCACTAATATTAATATGCTGCGGTGGCGGACATTTTTGCGGAAAAACTCACGATTATAATAATAAATATTTAGTTGAAATTATTACGCAAAGTTGACTATCATCAAAATATTATTCGTTTCTATGGTGTCACTAAGAGTGAAGGTATGTTTGTTTAAATTGCTTCCTATTTTTCTATTTTGGTTTTCTTCAATTAGCTAATGTTTATATTTATATATAAAGACAGTAAGAAATATTTATTGGTTCTCGAATGTGCAGATAGTGGAACGCTAAGAAGCTATCTACAAAAAAATTTCAAATCAATCAGTTGGGATCTAAAACTGAAATTTGCACATGAGATCGCATCAGCTGTTTTATGCCTACACGAAAACAATATTATCCATCGAGATTTGGTAACTAAATAATTGCACTTTACATAAATTTATTATTTTAAAAAAGACACACATTTATTAATGTTTATCTTTTTGAAAAGCATTCAAATAATTTCTTGGTTCATCAAAAATCAATAAAATTGGCAGATTTTGGGCTCTCCTGTAAGACGCTTGAATCTACAACCACTTCAACATTCCAATTGGCAGGAGTGTTACCTTACGTTGACCCACAATGTTTCAAATATAAACAAGCATATAAACCAAATAAAAAATCAGATGTATACAGCGTAGGTGTTTTATTATGGGAGTTGACTAGTGACAGACCACCTTTTAGTAATCTAGATCCACATTATCAACAATTTACTTTGATGCTTGATATTTCTGAAGGAATTCGTGAAAAACCTATTCCTAATACACCTGATGAATATGTTAATTTATATAATGGTAATATATATATATATACATATACTTTTAAAAAGTATATATTTATATCTATTAATTTTTGTTAATCATGTTATTTATTTGTGTATAGCATGTTGGCAGGATGACCCAGAAAATAGGCCTGATATTCAATATGTTGAAACAAGGATTATCGAAATGATTCCAGGTCCAAAAACAGTTGATAAAGAGAAAAATGACGAGCAACAAAAAATTGAAGATGAAGACAATAGTTCTTTCAGTCATTCCAGTACTATTTTAACAGAACCCACTAGTACTGATTTACTGCAAGCAAATTTTGATAAATATATATGAGGTTATCTAATTGTATAGTTTCCGGGATTCTGTCTATACAAAATTCTTTTGAATTGTAATACTATTAGCATTGTATTTAATAATTATATAGATTACATATATACACACATATTGTGATATTATTTAATATTGTCAAACACTGCTTTCATTATTCAATTAGTTGTTGTTTAGCAATTTAAGTTGATCAACATCTAACATAGTTCAGTGTTTGTTTCTAAACTATGGAGTTTTGCAACTATGCGAAAGCCAAAAGTTTCGCCATAAATCGAAACCAGTTTTGACTTTTGACTTTGATGTAGTTTTAATATATAAATTTTGATTTTAGTTTTGACTTTCGCCTCTTCAAAATTTAATTGTCAAAAATCACATCAAATTTCTATTTTAATGTTTGACAAAATGTTATCAAAAGTTGTAAAACTATTATACACTGTTGCGTCAAATTTGCTGCCATTAAGTCAACAATGACTAAGCAAAAAATTTGACATAAGTAAAATTGCTTTAAACGCAATAAAATATAAAAATAACATAGAAATATATATTCCAAGGTTCTTCTCTTCAATTTTTATTTTTGTGCGTCCCACCCAATCTTCATCAGTTGTCCCCAAGGAACTATATTTTTCTTTTACTGAATGCAACTTAAGTTTCCACACACTTATTTAATACTAAACTCGAACATTTTTTATATTAATATTAATAACGTGATATATGATCGGGTAGATAAAATCATCGATTAAGGATTCGGATAATTACATGCTTTTTGTTCCAGGGTCAGTGCAGACCTGCTTCCATAAAATTATTATTTTATATATAACTATTATCAAGTTACCGTGTAAATAAATATAGAAGTTTATAATATACATTGGTTGATTAATCTACTTTGCAATAACAAATCTTTAATTTCCATATCGTAGTGATTAATGAAAATTGAATTGAATAGGGGAATAACTTTTGGCCTTCGCTTGAAAAAGCAATAGATAATTAATATTCTAATAAAAACAAAGCTCTATAATAGAATCATTATTTTTATTAAATAAAATTAATCTTTTAAAAATAAAAATAAAACCAAAAACGTTGACTTTGTTTGATAAAAGCAACAAGCGTAGTAGTGCCTTGGTAAAAGATAAAAATTGTGGAGCTTTGGTAAAAATGCCATGTTTTATTTGCTTTAATGAGCAAGCAAGGTTAGGACTAGTGTTGGTGGTTAACTAGTGAGTATTAACAACGATTAGTAACGTAATTTTCCAGGAAGAAGAAATAGTGGAATATTGATTTTTACTGGATGTCATGATTAATAATGTTAATGATAAAAAGGCTTCAACTGAAAACCTTAATAAGAACAAACAAGACATTAGATCAAGAAAAAACAGAAGATGTAATGTAAATAGTAATAACAAGTTAATGAATGATATTACACTGCTTATCTACTAGCATTACTATTCCTTATTTTATAATTCTGAACATTCGGAAATCTTATTGAATATACAATTCTAATTAGAAAATGAATATATAAGATTCTATTGTACGTAAAAATAAACCGGAGCTATTTGTTATTACACGAATTATTCATCTGATACACAATTTTATTCCAAACAAATATTCGTATTATGCACTAGTATTATAGTACCATTCACGCTGAACTAATTACTTAAATGGGATTAAACGTTCTGGCCTTAGTGAAATTCTTGTTTATATTCGGTCAATCAATGAAAAAAAAATCAAATGTTCATTCCATATATTCAATGAATATTATTGGGGTGCAATCTCTAGTCAAATAGATAGACTTGTCAGAAGATTTTTCAAAAATCTACTTAAAAAAAGGAAATAAATGATGAAATTTAAGAACCAATTTTTTTAAAAAAATATGATACAAAAGACAAAAATTAATAAACCATTAACTCTCTTCCCAACTCTCCTAATTATTAAAACCCCCTTCCCTCTCCAAAATTATATATATGGTACGTAAATTGATAGATATTGTATATTGATATTAATGCTTTTATTGCCAATTTCTAATGAAGAGTATCTCCATTTTCGGTGGACGACTAATAATTAAAAACCACACTTTAAAAATTCTGAAATACTAAATTTTAATTAATTTGATTTTACCTTTCTTTGGCTTTATCAATTGTTCGTTTTATGCTATTTTGTATTTTGAATGGTCTGTGTGGTCCTTTATATAGGTTTTGAATGTAAGTATTCTTAATAGAATTGGGAGTTCTACCATTGCCGATTGTTTTTGCGATATCTCTCCATCTGAAACCTTCTTCACGTAATCTAATAGTCGCGGGACATTGCAGATCAAGTGTCATTCAATATAAACGTTACACGAATAAAATTATTATCGTCCACTTC